GTCTACACCAGCAGAGGTGGAGGACCTCGAGGGGTCTCGGGCAGGGAGGACCTAGAGGGGTCTCGGGCAGGGAGGACCTAGAGGGGTCTCAGGCAGGGAGGACCTTGAGGGGTCTTGGGCAGGGAGGACCTTGAGGGGTCTCAGGCAGGGAGGACCTCGAGGGGTCTCGGGCAGGGAGGACCTCCAGGGGTCTCGGGCAGGGAGGACCTAGAGGGGTCTTGGGCAGGGAGGGTGTCCAGTAACCACACTCCTTGTTGCCTTGCAGTCATGTTGACACGTCTCCCACACAAACCTGCATCCCAATCCCAGCCCGCTTCCCGAATCCTGTCTTTTCTCTCCATCGAGGCTGTGAACCTGTATTTGGGGTTCTGTGGCTTGGTGGAAGTGATTATCAGAAACAGACAATCCCCATCAGCACATCATTAAATAAGCTAAGAATAGACACCCAGTGAGGAAACCAGTTCAGCAGTCGGGCCGATGTTTCCAGAATGTGCAACTTTTCATAGACAGATCTGGGTTTCCCGCGCAGAGATGGCGTCAGGCGTGCAGTAAAAAGCCCTGGACGAGAATGTCTGAGTGTCAGGAACCAAGTCCCCTGGCATCCTGGTGGCCCTCCCAAGACAGTTTACTGCCTGTTTTACAACAGGCCGCTTGAATAATCCACATCTTTTTCCATTTGCAGGAGTCTCTGGCATCGCAAAACACAAAAATGATTTCCTCCATAGTCATCTCCCAGCTGATCGATGAGAATAATAAGTCAAGAGACCGCGGGGCCGTGCTGCCCCTGCCGTGCGCCATCTCCCGGCCTCCTGCACGGCACCTGAAGCAATCTTTGGCCAACCGCAGCGGAGTCAACATTCACAGGGTGTTTGCTCTACTCCCCGGCAGATTAGGAATTCCGACACTGGCGGATGAGCGAGGACCTGAGAGAGAACTGCCGCCCAAAGAGGAGAACCCATGTGGTGGCCCCCAAAAAGGGTTTGCATCCATCACCATCACGGCCAGGCGCGTGGGCCCGCCCGCCAGCACCCTGGTGTGGGGGACCGTTGGGGGCCCGCTGTGTCCCAGGTGCGGGGCCCAGGACCCCCTGCTCCAGGACCCCCCGGCTCTGGCCGAGACTGCCCACCCACGGCAGCACCCAGCATTCTCCAGCAACGGCTCCGCAGTCAGGCTGCAGGTTCCTGAGGCCCATGCACGGCTGTGCGAGGGGCGCGAGTACTGGGTCACCCACGTGGACGACAAAGAGACCAGGTTTTCCTCAGATGCCGCACCGCCGGGAAAGGGCCCGCTGGTGTTCAGTTCCTGTGTCCACCTCGGGGTGTCCCGGCAGTGCCCGGATTCAGCCTACTACTTACATAAGCCTCTCTCGGACCCCGCTGGGCAGCCTCAGATTGCCGGCCCCCAGACACACAGATCCGTCCTGTCGCTCACCCTCAACTGTAGTTCCCACAGGTTGACAGCAGATGGGGCAGATGGCCTGGCGAACGGAGAGCCAATAGGCAGGGCCCTGACGCCGGAGCTCACCCAGGGAAGCCAGAGCCTCCTAGGCCCGCGCTGGGACCCAGGTGTGCAAGACAGTCGCTTGAAGGGAAACCCATCCCTGGGGCAGGTGCATTTGGAGACTGGCCCATGCCCCTGGAGCAGCTCCCCTCCGCCGGGAAACACGGAGTTTGCAGGTGTGGGAACTAACCAGGTCACTCTAAGAAAAGGGACAGGGGACCATGCGACACGTTGTCACCCCAGCGGTCGTGCCAGCCAGCTCTCCATCCACATTCCTGGCTGGAGTTACACAGCAGGTGAGTGGCGCGCCCATCCGAAAGGGGGCGACGGGTGAACGTGCCCTGCCCGGGTGGATCTAGCGTGGGCTTCTGCTACGTGACGAACCCCAGAGGCATTTCTCGGTAGAGCCGCCTTTGACCTGCTCTGCTCAGAGTTGACAACGGCTAGTTCCGTGTCCTCGTACGAGTGGGCAGATTTTCTTAGATGAGACTTCTGTAGATTATGAGAAACCTTCCCTCAAATTCTTGTTCCCGGTAGTTCCAGACCATCTGTAATGAGTAGGAAATGATCACCCCCACGGAAAGTCGATTTACACCATGCCCGAATCGCGTGTTCCGGAAACAGGATGAGAAGAACAAAATGCCATCCACCCCCAGATGTTTCATCTCTCTGGTGCCAAACATCTGCATGTTTGGAAGTGTTCAGAGGGTCTTATCGATATCCTCTGACTAAGGCTGGGCTGTAGGAAGAGTAAACCCACGCAGGCACTGCCTATGTGAGAGGCACCTTTCATGTACCTCCTCTTTTTGGATTACATTTTCCCTGTGAGAAGAAAGAGGCAGTCAGGCATTTCTGTGGACCTGGCATTCCGTCAGCATTGACCCCCCCCCCCAGCAGCACTGTCACCCTGACGATATCGGAGAGCTGCAGGCTTCAGACATAGTCCAATTCATGCCCACTCACGATTTGCTGTGCCCTCATCCCATTTGCATCTGACAAGCCAAAATCATAGTCGTTGTACTGCCAGGCCCAGATTAATGAAGTGGTGGCAGATTTCCTTATCCCATCCTTTGGCTTCCTGGTCCTTCTGGGTTAACTTAGCCTTGAAACCCCCAGCACCGCCCCAGGACATCTTAGCCATTGCAGCCAGGCCAGCATTGCCACATCAGGGTGTTCCCAGGCTAGAGCACATCCATCACCCTAGCAAGACACCCCTGTTATACAAGCCAAGGCTCTCGTGGCATCGGGTACCCTCTTGTGTCAAGCACCACTGATAGAGGAACCTGGAAGTTTCACAAATAGAATCACAAAAGCTATCTCCTTCTCATTGCTTCGTCTAAGCCAGGCCTGTCCGGGTCCTGTAGCCAGGGTGACACCCAGCATCCGCAAGGACTTCCAGGCACCTAAACTAGCCAGCCTCTGACATGATCAAGTGCAGAAGAATCCTGAGATAGTATAAAAATGATTCTGAGCTTTAATCTCCATAAATCCCTGTGCAATACTAGGTTCTCAAGGGAGGAGGGTCAGAAATCTGCATGATTTCCCCCGTCCAGGTTTTTACGCAGGGTGTCCTGGTGCTGACTTGGGAAACATCACACTGTAAATCAAGGGACCGCAGTTTCCAAGATGTATTGTCCTTTCCTTCAAAGATCAGTGTCAATAGGAGTTCTACTGGGCAGATAGTCACCTGCGTAGGTGCATGGGAACATTATTATCGGAACAAATTTAACCAAATAGGAGGGACTGCATACCAAGTGAATGGCGCCAGGTTGCCTTCAGTTTTCTGTGCGGACGGCAGGATGAACAATGCGCTGGGGCAGCGCAGAAATGGCCACCGAAGCATGGGCTGCCTTGGACCATGCTGGACAGCTCTCAGGAAGCACACTGTGCCCGGGCCTCCCTAACCAGGGATTCTATTTTACTGTTTGGAGGAGAGGCTGGGCATCGGGGTTGGAGACTCCCAGGTGGCTGAGACCTGCTGGGAGAGGCCCTACCTCCCACCGCCGAGGCAAGCTGGCCTCGGAGGAGTGGATGCCCAGAGTGAGCTCAGGTGATGTGGCAGTCACTGAACGGGAAGGCTCATGTCCCATTCTTTGACTCAGTGCCACTGCAATGACCATCTCATTTGAAAAAGCAGCCCAGGGATATTTTGATTTTTTAAAAAATGAATATTTACGACTCTCCCTATCCATATATGTTTTTCTTCTTTTCATCCGTTTTATTTTAAAAAAAAATCCACATATAAGATGATGAATTTATCGACGAAAAGCAAACCAGCCATTTCTCTTTCCCATGCCTGACAGTGAGGTCAAAAGCCCTCGGATGGCTAGGACCATACACGCTGGTCCTCCTACGGCCATGTGACCTGCATGGTCATCCAGCCAGCAGGAGAACATTCCAGTTATTGAAAGGAAGAATATTAACAGGCACACAACACACAACACATGTGTTTGCATCCACACAACACAGTATATACCTGCCCCAACATGACAGGCCCTCACTTTGAAAACAGCAACCTCGTGACCCCATCTGTTCTCAAAGTGTCCGCCGATCACCTTACATCAAAAATCACAGAAGTCGGTTAAAATGCAGATCCTGGGCCCCACCCACACACATCTGAGCCTGCAGCTGTCATATTCCTGGACGAACTCACTCAACTCGGGCTGTGAGAGCTGCTGCTCCGGGCTGAGCGACCCAGTTACCCTTCAGGACACACACCACAATCCGTGCAAGCAGCAGGGCCTAGTAGCTGCTGGTACCCGTAGCACACAGCTGTGCAGCTCCATGCAAGGGTTCATTTTAACACGTATCACAATGTCAAATGCCCAGGACCGTTGGTAGCATCCGCTAAGACGCTTGGTACAGTCGTCCCATGTCATTTTTCTGTACGCTTTCTACATAACATAGCAAAACAATATGAGGCAGAGGAAATTCTTCTTCCCATGGGTCTGACCTGGAAGAGATGCTTTATTTAAAAATCATGACACTAAAAAAAAAAAAAGCTTAATTTCCTCATAATAAAAGTAATGGCGACCCCCTTGTAGAAACTTAGGAAAATACAGAAATATATGAATAAGAAAATATTTATATATGTACACTTTCCGTTATTTTTCTCATGCATTTTTAACATAAAACTATAACACATATCAACTTTTATCGCCCTCTCATATTACATAATATCCAGTCAGAAGCAATTTCCTGTGTCATTTAAATTATTTGTTATTTTTAATTTCTGTTAAATATAAGATGCAGTTATTCATACCATGATTTACTTACCCACTCCCCCTTTTTAAAACAAACAAACAAACAAACAAAAAACCCCAGTGATTCTTGGTGGCTGCAGGGGCTGGGAGGAGAAAGAATGGGAAGTTATTGTTGAATGGGTATAGATTTTCAGTTTTATAAGATGAAAAGAGTTCTGTTAATGTATGGTGGTAATGGTTGTACAACATTATGAATGTGTTTAATACCACTGAATTGTACACTTAAAATGGCTAAGATAGCAGATTTTACATGTCTTTTATTTTATCATAAGAAAAAAAAACTGGGGAAAAAAATGACTCTTTCTGGCTCTTCACTGCTATATATACCACGTCTAATCTTTAGTAACTGCATGGACAGACAAAAGTTTCACTATGGAAAGTAGGAAGAGCTCAGATTTTTCCATCTGTTTTAAAACTTGTCTTTCCCTGTTGCTACGTACCAGAGTGGGAGCGTGCGTTAGAAAACGCTCTTTGATTCAGGATAAAATGCCACCGGGCTGACAGATCACCTAGTGATGATGATCTCAGGTTGACTAAGCAGGGGGAGGCGGGTTTGCAGCGAATTTGGGGGTGGATGTACTCAAAGAGTCCGTCGGCAAAGACAGTTGCAGGTTGAGTAGCAGCAATGGGGAAGGAGACAGTTTCAAGGTAGAGACTGGCTGAGACGCTCGTTCTCTGGAGAAGGAATAGCTGCAGGGACGGAGGTCTCCTCTCTCCAGCGGCTCAGGATCTGATTTCTCTGATCACCCACTGCTGGTCTCTTATTTCAATTAATGAAATTATGCCCTTCTTACTACTTTCTCTTAAGCCACAAATATAAAGTTAAAAACAATCAACAAAAAGCGTAAACGACAAAAGGCAGTTACCAGCACTGCAAAAATCATGTTTGGAACAGTTTTAAAAAATCAACATCGTAAAGCAGCATCTATGAGAAAGAAAATGTAAAAAAAAAATGTGTTTCATGATGATGGTCGGGAAATGGATGGTTTACTACCAAAGCAAGGCACAAAACCCAGCTACTCATCTGACCTCTCTCCGACTCGAATATTCTCCTTTAAATAGGCGATGATTTCCTTCTTCCTTTCACATCAAATCTTATGTCAGTTAATTTTAGATGAAAGGAATCTCTTTGCAAAGAGATTGTTTAGCTAACCCAGTATAAAAGGCAGATGGAGTGTCACCCTGAAATAGCTTAATTGGGGAAGATATTTGATATAAACGATGTAATTACTTTCTAAAGAAAATTTGCCCAGCTTTAAAAGTAGTAGGCTATCTTAGGAACATTAAATAACCCCCTCCTTCTCATCTCTCTCTTCCTAAACCCGGAAGATGGATTGGACACAAAGCGATATGTCATAGTCTGTTATGAGCTGAATTTTTCCCCCCACTCCCCATCTAAAAATAAATTAATTTATTGAAGTCCTAACCCTTGGGATTCCCTCAGAATGTGACTGCTTTTGGAGAGAGGGTCTTTAAAGAGGTGATTACGGCAAAGTGAGGGCATTAGGGTGGGCCCTACCCAATCTAGTCAGATTATAAGAAGAGAAGATGAGGACCCGGACACGAGGCGGAGGGAAGACCCTGGAAGGAAGCTGGCCCTCTGCCAGCCAGGGAGAGATGCTCGGGAAGGAACCAACCTTGCCAACGTCTTCCTCTCAGACTTCCATCTCCTGGAACTGAGAAAATAAATTTCTGTTATTTAAGCCGCCCACGCTGCTGTGGCACTTTGTTACGGCGGCCCTAGCAAACTAATACAGAATTTTAAGAGGTTGGGTCTTCTCTTTAATGGGTCTCACTGAGAAAATAGGATGTGATAAATGGGACTTCCCGCACCAGGGAGTCGTGTGCATAGAAGAGCAAAGAGCCCGCCAGTGTTTCCTTTCCTAGTTCTCGCAGGTTGCTATTTGGGGCTTTGGTCAGAGCCAAGTCTACACGCTGAAAAAAAATCTACATGCTAAAAAGAACGTAGCACCTTACACATACATAGTAGGTGCTCAACAAAATGTTAGATGAGTAAATAAACAAATGGTTTGATCATGGCTGTATGCTATGAGTAACAGAATTTGCACCTAAAAATTATACTAATTCTACATGTCTGTCGAAAAAATTTCAGTGTATTGGGTATGTAATAAGTTATCTCTACTTAAGCAATTCATTGTAAATTCCACTGAAATGTGGTACAAGTTTGGTGTAAACACCCCTTCCTGCCCCCTGGGTTGGGTCTTATCAGATATCCTCTGACTAAGGCTGGGCTGTAGGAAGAGTAACACCCACGCAGGGTCACATGCGCATATTGTGAGAGGCACTTTCATATACCTCCTCTTTTTTGATCCCTACATTTTCCCTGTGAGAGAAAGAGGGCAGGCAGGCATTTCTGTGGACCTGGGCATTCGTCAGCATTGACCCCCCCCCCAGCAGCACTGTCACCCTGACATACCGAGAGGCTGCAGGGCTTCAGACATGAGTGCAAATTCATGCCACTCACGATTGCTGTGCCCTCATCCATTTGCATCTGACAGAGCCAAAATCATAGTCGTCGTACTTGCCAGGCCCCAGATAATGAAGTGGTGGCAGATTCCTTATCCCATCCTTTGGGCTTCTGGGTCCTTCTGGGATTACACTCACGCCTTGAAACCCCCCAGCACAGCCCCAGGACATCCCTTAGCACCTGCAGCCAGGCCAGCATTGCCACAGTCAGGGTGTGTCCCAGGCTTAGAGGACATCCATTCACTCCTAGCAAGACACCCCTGTTTATACCAAGGCCAAGGCTCTCGTGGCATCTGGGTACCCTCTTGATGTCAAGCACCACTGTATGAGGAAGCCTGGAGTTTCCACAAAAGAATCACCCCAGCTTTCTCCTTGCTCTGCTGCTGTGCAAGCCAAGGCCCTGTCCAGGGTCCTGTAGCCAGGGTGGGCACCCCAGGCTCCGGCTGGCTTCCAGGCAACCTAAATCCTAGCCCAGCCTCCTTCCCGCCATGTCCGTGCAGAAGAATCCCCTGGGAGCTGGTTAAAAAAATGCAAATTCTGAGCTTTATCTCCATAAATCCCTGTGCAATCTAGGTCCAGGGAGAGAGGGGTCCAGAAATCTGCATGTTTACCCCCGTCCAGGTGTTTTCTACGCAGGTGGTCACTGGTGCTGACTTTGGGAAACATCACACTGTAAAATAAGACGGATCCTGCAGTTTCCAAGATGGGTATTTGTCTTTTCCTTCAAAGATCAGTGTCAAAGGAGTTCCTACTGGGCATGATTATGCACCTCGTAGGGTGCATGGGAACAATTATTATCGGAACTAAATTTAACCAAAATAGGAGGGACTGCATACCAAGTGAAATGGGCGCCAGGTGCGCTTCAGTTTTCTTGTGCGGAAGCTGCAGTGATGAACAATGCCGCTGGGGCAGCGGAGGGAAAATGCCACCGAAGCATGGGGCTGCCTGCTGGGACCATGCTGGAAGCTCTCAAGCACACTGGTGCCCGGGCCTCCCTAGCCAGGGATTCTATTTTAACTGTTGGAGGAGAGGCCTGGGCATCGGGGTTGGGACGAGCTCCCAGGTGGCTGAGACCTGCTGGGGAGGAGGCCCTACCTCCCACGGCCCGCGGCAGAGCCTGGCCTCAAGGGAGTGGTGCCCAGAGTGAGCTCACGCGTGAGGTGGCGGTTCAGCTGAACGGGAAGGCTCATGTCCCCATTCTTGACTCAGTGCTACTGCAATGACCATCTGCGTTTTGGAAAAAAGCAGCCAGGGATATTTTGATTTTTTTAAAAAATGAAGTAAATTTTTAAACGACTCTCCTATCCATTATGTTTTTCCTCTTTGTTCATCCCGTTATCTTAAAAAAAAAATCCACATATAAGATGATGGAAATTATCACGAAAAACAAACCAGCCATTTCTCTTCCCATGCCTGACAGTGAGGTCACAAAGCCCCTCGGATGGCTAGGACCATACACGCTGGTCCTCCTACGGCCATGTGGACCTGCAGTGTCAAATGTCCAGCCAGAGGAAAACATTCAGTTATTTGAGGAAATGAATATTAATCAGGTCCTGAAGAAAAGAAAAATGCCACCGTGTTTGCTTATCACATTCCTTATCATATAGGGAAAGTATATACCCCAACACGTACAGGCCCTTCCTTTCCTTTAGAAAACCAGCAACCTCATGACTCCATCTGTGTTTCTCAAAGTGTGCCGCACGGATCACCTACATCAAAATCACAGGGAAGTCGGTTAAAATGCAGATGCCTGGGCCCCACCTGTGCCCTACAGAATCAGAGTCTGGAGCCTGCAGCTGTCATATCCTGGGTGAAGCTCATGCAAGTCGGGGTGTGAGAGCTGCTGCTCCGGGGGCCGAGCACCCCAGTTACGCCTTCAGACTTCCAAAGCAAAGGTTCCGTGCAAGCAGCAGGGGCCTAGTAGCTGCTGGTATCCCGGTATGCCTTTGGGTCCTGTGCAGCTCCATGCAAGGGTTCATTTTAAGCACGTATCACAATGTCAAAATGGGGGCCCAGGACCTTGTTAGCATCCGCTAAGCGCTGGGGTACAGTCAGTCTCCCATGTCATTTTCTGTAGCGCTTTCTACATAAACATAGCAAAACCAATATGAGGGCAGAGGAAATTCTTCTTCCTGGTCTTGACCTGGAGAGATGCTTTATTAAAAATCATGACACTATTTTGAACACACTAGCAATTTACTGCTAGGACATATAAGTGGCCAATTAGAAAGGATTGAAACACCTCGATCATTAAAAATACTGGTTGGAAACTCACGCAACATTGCATGAGTTGAAACACAGCAACATTGCATCTGTCTCGGTCTCCGCCCCAACCCCAGTTCAGACGAGTGAAATCATCTGATTGTCACTGTTTTTGCTGGGGCAGGCTTGCACACTTGGGCCTTTGGTTCCTGTTGTTTTGGTCTCTGGACTTTGATTCCTGTGATGCCAAGTGGCAGGGAGTGGCGGAATAAGAGTCTACACCAGCAGAGGTGGAGGACCTCGAGGGGTCTCGGGCAGGGAGGACCTAGAGGGGTCTCGGGCAGGGAGGACCTAGAGGGGTCTCAGGCAGGGAGGACCTTGAGGGGTCTTGGGCAGGGAGGACCTTGAGGGGTCTCAGGCAGGGAGGACCTCGAGGGGTCTCGGGCAGGGAGGACCTCCAGGGGTCTCGGGCAGGGAGGACCTAGAGGGGTCTTGGGCAGGGAGGGTGTCCAGTAACCACACTCCTTGTTGCCTTGCAGTCATGTTGACACGTCTCCCACACAAACCTGCATCCCAATCCCAGCCCGCTTCCCGAATCCTGTCTTTTCTCTCCATCGAGGCTGTGAACCTGTATTTGGGGTTCTGTGGCTTGGTGGAAGTGATTATCAGAAACAGACAATCCCCATCAGCACATCATTAAATAAGCTAAGAATAGACACCCAGTGAGGAAACCAGTTCAGCAGTCGGGCCGATGTTTCCAGAATGTGCAACTTTTCATAGACAGATCTGGGTTTCCCGCGCAGAGATGGCGTCAGGCGTGCAGTAAAAAGCCCTGGACGAGAATGTCTGAGTGTCAGGAACCAAGTCCCCTGGCATCCTGGTGGCCCTCCCAAGACAGTTTACTGCCTGTTTTACAACAGGCCGCTTGAATAATCCACATCTTTTTCCATTTGCAGGAGTCTCTGGCATCGCAAAACACAAAAATGATTTCCTCCATAGTCATCTCCCAGCTGATCGATGAGAATAATAAGTCAAGAGACCGCGGGGCCGTGCTGCCCCTGCCGTGCGCCATCTCCCGGCCTCCTGCACGGCACCTGAAGCAATCTTTGGCCAACCGCAGCGGAGTCAACATTCACAGGGTGTTTGCTCTACTCCCCGGCAGATTAGGAATTCCGACACTGGCGGATGAGCGAGGACCTGAGAGAGAACTGCCGCCCAAAGAGGAGAACCCATGTGGTGGCCCCCAAAAAGGGTTTGCATCCATCACCATCACGGCCAGGCGCGTGGGCCCGCCCGCCAGCACCCTCGTGTGGGGGACCGTTGGGGGCCCGCTGTGTCCCAGGTGCGGGGCCCAGGACCCCCTGCTCCAGGACCCCCCGGCTCTGGCCGAGAGTGCCCACCCACGGCAGCACCCAGCATTCTCCAGCAACGGCTCCGCAGTCAGGCTGCAGGTTCCTGAGGCCCATGCACGGCTGTGCGAGGGGCGCGAGTACTGGGTCACCCACGTGGACGACAAAGAGACCAGGTTTTCCTCAGATGCCGCACCGCCGGGAAAGGGCCCGCTGGTGTTCAGTTCCTGTGTCCACCTCGGGGTGTCCCGGCAGTGCCCGGATTCAGCCTACTACTTACATAAGCCTCTCTCGGACCCCGCTGGGCAGCCTCAGATTGCCGGCCCCCAGACACACAGATCCGTCCTGTCGCTCACCCTCAACTGTAGTTCCCACAGGTTGACAGCAGATGGGGCAGATGGCCTGGCGAACGGAGAGCCAATAGGCAGGGCCCTGACGCCGGAGCTCACCCAGGGAAGCCAGAGCCTCCTAGGCCCGCGCTGGGACCCAGGTGTGCAAGACAGTCGCTTGAAGGGAAACCCATCCCTGGGGCAGGTGCATTTGGAGACTGGCCCATGCCCCTGGAGCAGCTCCCCTCCGCCGGGAAACACGGAGTTTGCAGGTGTGGGAACTAACCAGGTCACTCTAAGAAAAGGGAC